AGCGGCAGCCGGCGCCCCAACCCCGGGCCCACGCGGCCCGCGCCACCCGCACGCTCATGCTGAGGTTGCCGCCCGCCGCGCGTTACCGGGGCGACCGAGGCCCAGCGGCGGCGGCGCGGGGCGGCGCGGTCCTTGACGCATTTCCCGCCGGGCGGGTCGCGGCACCGGGGGGCAGGCAAGAAAGGTTCCGCGCGTACGAGTTCCGCCCCGGAGCCCGCGCGGCTGCGCGCCGGAGGCCTGGAGTGACCCAGGCGCTTAGGGAAACCCGCGCGGGAGCGAGTAAAGCGCCGCCCCGCGCCGCACAGCCGTCCTCCGGCGGAAGGAGTTCCCGAACGAGCCGCGAACGCAGGGTCGTGCACACTCTACCTCGCCTGAGAAGCTTCCACGTTGTTTCTCCTGTGCAGTAAGCAAGAGAACAGCTCTCTTTCACAGTCTTTCCTGTAAACCGAACAGGCACACAGAAGCATCCGATTCATATCTGCTCCATTGAACAAAGCCCTGGATATTTGTCAGACATTAGCTTCTTTAATTCCGCACAACGACGCTATGATGGGTAGGAGCTATTATCCTCCATCTTTGGTCAAAGGCTCAAAGACTTGAGTGACAGGTGGTTAGAGACAGAAGGGGGATCGGAAATGGGGTTACAGGTTTCTGAGCAGCGGTGTGAGGCAGGGTCGGGGAGAGTCTAACTCTGACCTCACCCCCACTTGCTCCTCTCTCATTTCCTGCCAGCCTCTTCTACGGCGCCCGGGAGACAGACGGACACACAGACAGACACCCACCCACACCCACACGCACGCACTCCTCATAATGAGAAAGATGTACGTGGAATTACATCAGCAAATCTACTTCAGTGAGTTTGTCCTAAGACTCAAATGAGCAAAGCTCTAACTCTCAGAACATCCGATACAGCCTTGCTTTTGACAAGGAAAAAGTGGGGAAAAGCCCTATATTCGACGAGAGGAGATTCGTTAAACGGGTTACGGCAAATCTGTACAACGCTGAGGTCATCAAAGATACGGAGGAGATTTTCAGGTTAAGACATGAACAGAGCACACACTGCCTCCAGAAGCCCATAAATCCACAGGAAGGGAATCTTATAAAGACCTAAATCCACAAGGACAGGGAGAACAGGAAAGAAAAGAACCCCTGGAAGCTGAAAAGAGGAAGACCAGTATTACTTGACTTAGCTGACTCCAGACAGCCAAATTCCTCTGGACAGTGGGGAAAGCTGACCAACCCTCATTTATACAAGAGCCTTCTCAAAAGCTTAGGGACTGGCAGCACTAGCTGCTTGTAGATCTAAGGGTGAAAGAAGGTTAAAATAAAGAGGACTATTTGAAGGTATCGTTGAAGAACAGATCTTTAGACCCCTCTCTCTAGCCACTGAGTGGTGCCCCTCCCTCATTCTGGCAAACATCTGGGGTTTAATTCTGGAAAGGGCTGGACATGCCAGGGACAGTGGTGAATGTGGGTATTTTGCCAAAACAGGTGGATGCTGAATGCTGAATGAGGAGACCTCCTCTGGTGTTCTCCCCCATTAAGCTCCCAGAAACCCAGAACTAGACCCTTACCCTCCATGCAAGGGACTGAAGGACCCTGGGGAATCTGACCAGTCCAAGAGGAAATCTGAAAGACATTGACAGTCCAGGAAGTTCCCAGACAAATGGCCCCCGAAGTTCCAACTTACAGTGATGCTAAACCAACAAATACCATCCATAGACTTATTTTCCTCCCTCCTTCTAATCATGAGAAGCCAGGCCAAAATTCCCAAGCATCTGAGGAAAGCCTCTTACAAACAGAAACAAAACAAAACAAAACAAAAAACCCACAACACATAGGATCCAGAGACTATAAGAAGAGCAGAAAATAATTGTTTTAAGAAAACTATCACAGATAGTTGAGAGGTAAGAGAAGATGCTGTATCCATGAAAAGTGAACAGAAAGTTATATTTTAAAAGAACATTTAGAAAGCAAATAAGAATCCCTTGGAAATTAAAAATACTAAAGCAGTGGGGTGCCTGGGTGGCTCAGCCGGTTAAGCGTCTGCTTTTGGCTCAGGTCATGTTCCCAGGGTCTTGGGATTGAGCCCCACACAAGGTTCCCTGCTCAGCAGGGAGTCTGCTTCTCCTTCTCCCTCTGCCCCTCCCCCTGCTTGTGTGCGCTCTCTCTCTCTCTCTCAAATAAATAAATAAAATCTTAAAAAAAATTCTAAAGGAGAGCAAGGTCATGTTTAACTCATAAGTCAAGTTAGAGGTGACCTTGGGGTGAAGGGAGGATTCAGAGAGAATACAGGAGACCCCCGGGCCATTGGCAATCTCCTGTTTCTTAACCTGGGGGTGGACACCCAGGTGTTTTTTCATTATTATTTTAAAGTGTACACAGTGTTTTATATACATTTCTGTTTGTATGGAACATTTCACAATTAAGAAAACCAAGGTAGACAAATGTTTGTTACTGTAGAAAGAGGCGTCTGATTTATTGTAAGGGGAGGAAAATTGTAAAACCACTTGTAGCATGAAGGCATTCTTGTAAAGGAAGGTGTGATATGCTTAGAAAAAGTCATGCAAACACTCACCGAAATGTGGACTGTGCTTTGCTCTAGGCGATGGGAGAATAGGTCGCTTTATTTTTTTCCTCTGTGTTTTCCAATTCCTTTGCAATGCATGTGGATTCCTCGTGTAATAAAGTAAACACATAAATAAAATACAAGGATGTACTGTATCACACTTGGAATTGGGAAGCTGAATGACACACTGGTTAAGAGTGCAGATCCTGGGGGCGCCTGGATGGGAATCCTGACTCCACCGCTGACCAGCTGTGTGACCTCAGGATGTTCCTTCACCTCTCTGAGCCTGTGAGGTGGGGTTAATCCTCTGGGGCTTGGGAGGGTGTTTCCATGCCTCCTTCCTGGATCAACTGAGCCTACAGATGGGCTTTGCTTGTGTTGAATCCTCTAGGGTTCGGCGCAGAGCTGACCACCCTGAGGGGCTCAGTATACATGCCAAATGCCCAAGAGAAGCTCCGTGCTCAGTGCTGTGGAGTTCAGAAGTCACTGCCCACTTAGAATGGGGGTGGCACAGACTTGGGGTTCTGGAAGAGCTTGCTGGCATGACACTGGAGAGCAGTCAGACTTGGACATGTGGAGATGCCCAGGGGGGGGTGGGGTGGGGGGTGCCCTAGACAGGGGCACAGAGGTGGGAAAGGGTGGGGTAGTTAGCTTGACCCCAGTTTGGCAGGGCCTCCAGTGCCAGGGAAAAGTTTGGACTGGATCCTAAGCAGTGGGAGCCTTGGAGGGTCCTCAGCAGAGGAGTGGAATGGAAAGAACAAGAGGGGAGCTGGGGGCCAACTAGGGGCTGCAGCTGCTGCTCAGAGGAGGGACCGTGACCGTTGCCCAGGCTCCGGAGGGGTCCGTGGGGTTGGACAGGAGGGAGGGAGGCAGAAGTAACGGGAGGCTTCCAGGCCCAGCAGGCACAGCACTGCCATGTCTGCATCTGCATGCAGACCTCCCGTGAACCCCCTCTCCACTGCAGGGTTGTGTGAGCTTCAGGAGGGCAGGGGCCCCCTGTGTTTGTTCTTAGCCCCTCCCTTTGGCCCTGGCATGCAGCAGATATTTGGGGGCAGAAATTTCCTTGAGCGCCATGTGTAGTAGGGGTGAGGCTGGAGGGAAGCTGCCTTGTCTCCTCCCCGCGGGTCTTCCAGGGGAAGTGAGTGTGCCACTTGGCCAAGCCACAGGCATCTCCTTGCAGGAAGAAGGCGAGGGCGGGCAGCTTGCTGGGAGGTGTGGCCAGACCCATTTCTTCAAGACGGGCAGGCCCAGTGCCTGGGGCCACAATACTTGGAGTGGACCCAGCGAAATATTTTAATTTCTTTTAAAATCAGAAGAAGAAGACACAGTTCAGCCTGGATTACACTTGTCTTTATATCAAAGCAGTCGAAGGAGGAAGGTCTGGCAAAGGCCAACATGGCACGGCCTAATTATTTGGACTGCAGCCCAGGAGGCTCTAAGCCGCTATGGCTGGGGACAAGAAGCTGTAGTTCGCGTGATTCCCCCAAGGACCAGTTTGGGCCACTTTGGCTCCTGCAGGCTGAGGGGCCCTGACTGGCCAAGTCAGCCCAAGGGGGCCAGGACAGACCCCGGGCTGCAGTGATAAAGCAATACCCGCTGGGACGCCTGGTTAAGCGTCTGCCTTCGGCTCAGGTCATGGTCCCAGGGTCCTGGGATCGAGCCCCGCATCGGGCTCCCTGCTCCGCGGGAAGCCTGCTTCTCCCTCTCCCTCTGCCCCTGCTTGTGTTCCCTCTCTCGCTGTCTCTGTCAATTAAATAAATAAATAAAATCTTTAAAAAAACAAACAAACAAGGCATCACCCGCAGATGAGCTGAGGTGTCCAAGGCCTGGGGCTGGACATGCTGGGCCCATCAGGGTGCCTCTCGCCAACTGGAGGCCAGCTCGGGGCGCTGATGGTTGCAGTCTCCACTCACTGAGTGCCAAGCGTCTGCAGGGCGCCCTGCCTGCATTACCCTGTGGCATCCTCATTAGGCCCACGCTGTTGTGCCCATTTTACAGATGAGGAGATGGAAGCAGAGAGAACAGTCACAAAGTCTCTGAGCCAGGACTACAGAGTCCGGCCTTCCTCGTGCCCGGGGCACCGCTTAAAGGTACTAGGGTGCTCCTCCGGCGATGGGGGGCCAGGGCTACCGTGTGGGAGGGTGTTCAGGGCTTTGCTATCAGGCGACGTAATTCCCCTCTTTGAAGTCGGTCCCTGTTGCCCCATTTTACAAACGGGAAAGGTGAGGCTCAAGAAGAGCAGCGACCTGACAGCGACACAGCCGGGACGGTGGCCACGGGAAGGACCAGGGCCGACAGAGCCGCTCGCGGCCAGGGAGGCAGAGGCAGAGGGGAGGAGGCGAGGAGCGAGCTCTCCGGCGGCCGCGGCTTCCAGCCAAGCCGGGCGGGGCCGGGGCCGGGCGGGGCCTCGCGGCCGAGGCGGGGCGGGCGGGGGACCTAGGCCACCACCTCGCACCGCGCAGTGCCTTCCCGGAGCGCGTCCTCATCGCTGGTGAGTGGGGACCTGGCGCCGAGCGGGCAGCGGGCGGGGCGTCCCCGCGCAGGTGCGACCCCCGACAGCGCCCGCCCGCCGGCGCGGGGGCCCGAGGGCAAACTGAGGCAGGAGGGGGCAGGCCGGAGCTGCGGGGCGGGGACCCCAGGGGGCGACCGGGGGGCAGCACGAGGGGGCTCGGCTACCGGGCGGTGGATGCCGGGGCCCTGACCTCCGCGGTCGGGCATCCTGTGAGGCGGGATTCCAGCGACTAGCGGGAGCTCGGAAGGGGGGGAATTGGAGCAATCGGGCCCCACTCCGCCCCGCCCCGCCCCGCCCCCCCCCCCCCGCCCCCCTCCGCGCCCCGCCCCCCACGCCCCGCCCCTCTCCGCGCCCCGCCCCCTCCACTCGGGTCTGGCGGGAAGCAGAGCCGTTGAGAGGGACCCGACACTCTCGGCTCCCGCCCATTCCGCAGATGAGCAAGCCGGATGGGGGAGGGAGGTTAGGGGGAGGGTGGGAGTGGCTGAGCGGGGTACCGAGAGGATCACAAAGTGCCCGGGAGACCTCAGGCTCCTGGTCCACTTGAGACTCTTCATTTCTAGGCGGGGAAACCCAGACCACCTGGGGAGGTTATTTGCACACAGACAGTTAAGGCCCCAGAGGATCTTAGAACCGGGTCCCAAGAGTCCCAGTTCAGTGCTCAGGTGCGCTGTCGCCTGGACAGGGGTCTGGTGTGGGCAGAAGATCGCCTGGGACCTGCCTGTCGATTGCCCCTCCTGCAGCGGTAGGAGTGGTGGGGCTTCCAGCTGTGAACACACTGCAGAGTTCTGGGGTCCACCCCCCGCTGGCCGGGCCTGGCCTGGGAGCCTGGCTGGCCTGCTAGTGTGCGGCAGGACCCGGTACCAGCCGTGTGCTCTACAGTGAATGGCAGGGAGGCTGGGCTGGGGCCTCCCTTAGGGACGGTTGACTGGGGCTGATCCCAAAGGGTCATGGGGCTTGGAGAGGATGCCAGAGGGGGCTGGTGTACAAGAAGGGCGCCAGGGTGCCCGGCACGGAGCAGGCCGTTGACCGAAAGACTTAGCTGGCAGAATGTGGGCCTCGAGCCTCCGGTGCCTCTGTGGGGGTGAAGTGGGGAGCCCTGCAGGGCAGCAGGGGCGGATATCTGCTTCATGGAGCGAGGGCGTTTGTCCGCTGCCTTGAAAGGACCCAAGGAGCAAGGCGTGGGTGGATAGCAAGCCTTTTCACGGAGCGGGGGTGGGGTGGGGGGGCAGGCTGCCTCCTTCTGTTTCCAGATGGCTGCGCAGCACACCCAAAGGGAGGCTCAGAGTGGAGCCTTTGAACTGAGGGAAACTGAGGCTCACCCAGGAGCCTGTGTCCAGGGTCACATAGTGATCCAGCTGGGAGCCATATGGTTCAAGGCCCTGCTCCGTCCACTGTACCCTCTGTGTCAGTGACTGAATAGTAGCTGGCCGGAGCAGCCAGAAACCGTTGGCCGTGGGTTGCTCAGGGGTGAGGTGAGGGGCTTGGGCTCCAAGGGAGGGAGCCTCCTTTTTACTATATACACTTTTACATTTTCATTATTTTGTTTTGGAATCTGTGTTTTTTTTTATTTGTACTTTCTTTTACTTAGTTCTGATTGTGCAAGCCGTGTCTGAATATGCTCTTTGTGTTTAAAAAAGTAGTCATTCTCCACGGAGCAAATTCCCCCTTGTCACTCCCAGCCCAACCCCGTCCCAGACCTCCCGGTTACCAGCTGGATATGGATCCTTCCTGACCTATTGGCTGTTGTACTGGGTACTTGCATAATGAAAAAGATTCACAGAGGTTATAATGGGGAGGATTAGCTGTGAGTCATTTTAAAAAAGAAAGGGGCCTTAACACCAGTCCCGGGACAGCGGGGGGCTTGGGTGAGAGAGAAGGCCTAGGAGGGCTGGGTACATCCGGGGTGGAGGAGAGAATCGGAGAAACAAACTCTTTGTTCTGTCCGGGGGGGGGGGGGGGGAGGGGGGGCAGTTTCTGCCACGTTCTATAGGGAGGCCTCGGGAAACAGGAGGGTGCCCCAGAGACTCACTAGCTGAGCCCCCGCTTCACAGATGGGGGCAAGAGGCCTGGGAGGTGAGATCTTAGGGCCAGAAACGGGTCTGGAGTCTTTTGGCGGGGAGCAGGAGCTAAGCTCCTTAAGGACAGGAGATCCTGAGGCCCACCCTTGGGGGCACAGGGAGGATTCAGGTCCTATTACTGCTGCCCCTAGCTAAGAAGGGGTCTGATGCCCCGTGGGGGCTGGGACACTGGTGCTGGGGCTGGAGGGAGTGAGCATGCTGGCCCTGAAAGAATCTTCTGACACGGGGCAGAGGGTGTGACCGCTGAGGTAGGGTGGGAGCCCCCTCGGCCCTCTGGGCAGGCCTTAAGTGCCATGTGGGGATGAGAAGGAGGCTGAGGGAAGGTATCAAGGTAAATGGCCTTGTGGCCCAGAGCTGAGGCCAGCAGACTCCCCGCTCAGGGACGGGGGTGCTCTGGGCCTCAGAGTCATACAGATCTGGAAAATTCTGGGATTCCCTGTGCCTCAGTTTCCTTATCTGGATGGTGGAAATAGTAACGTCCACCGTGGAGGCCAGGAGGGTGTGGCTCAGGGCCCCCCAGAGAGAAGCAGCTGGTCACCATCCCTGCAGCTGCTGTGAAGAGTAAGTGAAGTATGAGCATCAGGGTGAGCCACCAAGCACGACCCGGAGGCCTAGAACCTTCTGATCCCAGGTCCTGAGCCTTTGGCCCTTCTTGGCCTCTGTTTCAGAATTGCTTGTCCCTTAGTGGCCCCAGGCCCGAGGGTGGAGCTGTGTGTGAAGACTTTTGCCTCACTTAGCATCCAGTGCCTGACTGGCTGATGTCTTTTCAGCTTTGGGTCTACGCCACAGGGCCGCTTCTTCCCCCAGAGGAAATGGGGTGAGTGGCCCCAGCCCTGACAGCCACAGCCCCCCTCACTTGTCTGGTCCTCACTTGAGCCTCCCGATGACCCCATGAAGCAGGCAGGACAGGTTATACCCACCTGATGTAAGGGAAACTGAGGCCCAGAGAGGAGCTTTGGCCTGGGATTACAAAACAAATTGGAGGCAAGCCAACATTTGGGTTCTTAGTCACTGTCTGATGTTGATGGAAGTAAAGGGTGTGTGGGTGGCTTTGCCCTTCTGCTTGCATCCCAAGTCTTCTCCCAGTCATGGGTGCTCCCTGACCTTCCCCAGCCCTCCCTGGGACCCCAACCCAGAGCACATCTCTCTCAGGCCTGCCTGGGCTAGCCCAGCCCAGCCCAGCCGAGTGTGACTCAGCCTGGTGGGTCCCCCAGTCGGGTGACTCAGGAGCTGGGCAGTCCCCCAGAGGCCACAGGAAGCTCCCTGTCTGGGCTGTTTCTATCTGGCCTTTCTGGTCTGACCTTCGAGCTGGGCAGACTCTCTGATCCCCAAGGCCCAGTGAAATATTAAACCCAGCCAGGCTCTGGAAGGGGCAGCGGGAGTGGGGGCAGGAACACAAAGCTCAGACCCTACTCTGTCACTGAGGCCTTAGGGAAGCCACCACCCTCTTGGGGCTGTGGTTTGTTCTGTACAGCAGGGGGCTTGGTCGATGGGCTCTAGGGCCCGCTCGGCGGGCACCGTGGGCAAGTCCTGTGTGGCATTTCCTGGGCACGGGCTGGGTGCTGTGGCAGGGGGACCGGAGTGCCCCTGCCCACAGAACCTTGCAGAGAAGTATGGGCAGGTGGTACAATGTGAGTGAATTTCAGAAACATGTTCCGTGACAGAAGCCAGACCCCAAAGGCCCTGTATTGTATAATTCCATTTACATGAAATGTCCAGAAAAGGTAAATCCACAGAGACAGAGGGCAGATTGCTGCTTACCAGGGGCTTGGGGAGGGAGGGACAAGGCGCGACTGCAGTGGGTACAGGCGTTCATTTGGGGTGACAAAAGTGTTTTGAAACTTGATATCGGAAGCGTACTGAATGTCACGAATCATGCACTCTAAATGGTTAATTTTATGTTATGCAAATTTTACCTCAATTTAAAAAAAGTAGAAGAAAACCCTGGGGACGGAACCCCACTGACAATCTCAGAGCAGGAGTGATGTGGTGGAAGTGGGAGGCTCGGAGGGCCCTGGGGGCAGGGGGAGCGGGGGCTGGGGCTGGGGTCAGGGCAGAAGTAAGGGACAGTGCGAACTGTTAGCCAAACCAGGATACTTCTTTTTTAATGTTCTATTTTGAACTAATCCTAGACGTACAGAAAAGGTACAAAAGTAGTAGGGAGGGGCGCCTGGGTGGCTCAGTCCTTAAGCAGCTGCCTTCAGCTCAGGTCGTGATCCCAGGGTCCTGGGATCGAGCCCCGCATTGGGCTCCCTGCTTGGTGGGGAGCCTGCTTCTCCCTCTCCCACTCCCCCTGCTTGTGTTCCCTCTCTCGCTGTGTCTCTCTCTGTCAAATTAATAAATAAAATCTTTAAAAAAAAATAAAATTAAGTGATGCTCATTATGGACATTTTGGAAAACAGTAAAGACGGAAGGAACATAGCATCATAAATCCCACCAAGGGCAGCCCTTAGAATCCCCAGCTGCCCACTTGCGGAGGGGCCCTGGGCCGATGCCTCCCCGCTCCCGGCCTCCGGTCTTCACTGGCTGATGGGATAAGATGGGGCAGTTCCCCGCAGGGCAAGGATGGACGGGTGGTGGGCATATAGCCATTGCCCAGCAACGTTAGCTCTGTGATTATGATGGCTGAGATTATAACAACTTCGTGAATCTTTAGTTTTTAAAATGCCTGTGTCGGGGCGCCTGGGTGGCTCAGTTGGTTAAGCGACTGCCTTCGGCTCGGGTGGTGATCCTGGAGTCCCGGGATCGAGTCCCACATCGGGCTCCCTGCTCAGCGGGGAGTCTGCTTCTCCCTCTGACCCTCTTCCCTTTCATGCTGAGATTATAACAACTTCGTGAATCTTTAGTTTTTAAAATGCCTGTGTCGGGGCGCCTGGGTGGCTCAGTTGGTTGAGCGACTGCCTTCGGCTCGGGTGGTGATCCTGGAGTCCCGGGATCGAGTCCCGCATCGGGCTCCCTGCTCAGCGAGGAACCTGCTTCTCCCTCTGACCCTTCCCCCTCTCATGTGCGCTCTCTCTCTCTCTCTCATTCTCACTCTCTCAAAATGACCCCGGGATCCAGACCTGAGCCGAAGGCAGACGCTTAACGACTGAGCCACCCAGGCGCCCCAGTTTTTTTTTTTTTTTTAAATTGGGATCATTCTCTAGTCAACTTTATATTCCTCTTTCTTCGCTTAACGTTATGTTGAGAACAATTTTCACATTATTAGAGTCCTCAAAAGCTGGATTTGGGGGTCGACCAGGTCTTTATGGTCCCCGCTTGTTGGGCATGAAGGTTGCTTCTGCATCTCATGGGGCTTCACGGCGCCCCAGGCTGGCAGCTACCCCCTCTCCCCAGGACAGCCTTCACCCTTTGCTCTGAGGCCCTCGATAGCTCCCCAGGGCCTCCAGAGCGAGCACAGCCTTTTCCCTGCATCTGCTCCCCCGCGGGCAGGCGACGCCCTCAGCTCACCCTTGCCTGTCATTCATTCCCTGACTGCTCTCCCTTCCTGTGTCCCCGTGCAGGAACGGCTCGCCGTCCTGCCAGGACCATCTTTTCCTTGATCCCGGGTCGGGGGTACCCCTTCTGTCTGTGCCCCTTGCAGGGACTCTCCTGTTCCGTCTACCCTGGGTCCCCAGCCCCCACCCTAGCAGGTCAAGCTGCGGGTTTGCTGAACTCAGTCTGGATGGCTTCTTATCTCGTGCAAACACCTCCAGGTTCTCCAGTTAGGATCGGAGTGTGGCAGTGGGAGCCCAGCCCCCTCGTTTTATGGTGGGGAAACTGAGTCCCAGTTGGGGTGCTCATGGGCTGAGGGTCCTACAGCAGGTCCAGTCAGAAGTTGGCCTGAGATGGCCAGCCAGGGACCCCCACCCCCTTGCCGTCCCTCTGGACTCTCAGCCCCAACGAGCAGTTCAGCCTGCTGGGGGCCGTACCCACTGCTGGGTGCCTAGTAGGTCCTGGAGTAGACCTTGGGGCCGCTGGGGAAGGGGACATAGTTGATGAACACAATGGACAGACCTGATGACTGGGTCCCCAGCCCTTGGGGTGGCAGCACCCAGGCCTGACACAGAGACCTTCCCTGCCCTGAGCCGTGCCAGACTCTCAGGGTGGCTGACAGGCCCTCACTAGCCTTGAACTCTTGCTAACTCCTGTTCTTTCCCACCCACCACCTCCGTCATCCCGGGTGTCAGGGTGGGAGCAGCTTTTTGACTGGGCAGAGCTTGGCCCCAGGGTGCTGTGTAACTCCAGGCAGGCAGCTTTCCCTCTCTGACACAGAGGGAAGGGAAGGTGATTTGAGGGTGGGCTTGTAGGGTGGTGGTAAAATAACTGGATGCTCCCCCACTGGGCTGGGCCCAGGTAGGCAGTGTTGATATCCCATTCTACAGAGGGGGAAACTGAGGCCCAGAGAGTTGAAGTGATTTGCCTGAGGTCACAGTGACGTAGTGGGGAGCCAGGATTTGAGCCAAGCTCTGTGTGATACCAGTTATTGAATGAGTGAATGAATGAATGAGTGAACGAGTGAATGAGTGAATGAATGGTGAGAGAGGGAATGAGAAGTAGTAGAACATAAAGCACGGGGTGTGGACCGATGCAGGCTTCTCAGAGCGCCGGGCTGTCAGTCGGCGTGGGGAGGAAGGGCCAGGAAGCCGTCTGGGTGGAGGGGACACAAACTGGCCTTGAATCAGAAGAGGGGTCACTTGACAGGAGACCTAAGGTCAAGGGTGAGGGTGAGAGAGAGAGTACAGGACGCTGGCAGCTGGGGCAGGAGCTGAGGCGGGACCAACTCTGGGGGCAGGGGCGCCCAGAGGCTCCTGCCAGTCCGGGCAGCCTTGGGTGGGGGGGGGCAGGAATTTTTGGGTGGAAATGTGCTCCCTGGAGCCATGGCATGGGCTGGCAGGGGCTGCCGGGGTGAACCCAGCCCCTCCCTGCCCAGTGCTTGGGGAAGTCTCGCCCCAGTTCTGGAGTGCCCCCCTACCCCACCCCTGTCTTCTCTTGCAGAACTTTCCAGAGCAGCAGTGACCGCAGCAGCAATGGCCCCAACTTGGGTACCCGCCGTGGGCTTCACCCTGGTGCCCAGCCTGGGGGGCTTCCTAGGCTCGTACTACGTCCGTGGGGAGGGCCTCCGCTGGTACGCCAGCCTGCAGAAGCCCACGTGGCACCCGCCCCGCTGGGCACTGGGCCCCATCTGGGGCACCCTCTACTCGGCCATGGGGTAAGTGGGCTGGGCCATCCTCCCCCTCTCGAGGCCCCAGGACAGAGCGTCTCCTCCACGTGCTCCTGGGGAAGCAGGCGTTTCCGGGCTGAACCACCTCCTCCGGGGCCTCCGGGAAGGGGGAGGGGCGGGCCGGAGCCTGGCGGGGGCACTCTGGCTGTTTTCGCAACTCCAGGGGGAGGCGGGCTCCGCGTGTCAAGTTCAGACCTGGGCAGCCTCCAAGACCAATAGTGGCAGCAACAGTAACAATTCTCGTAGCTACCACTTGTTGAGCATCCGCTCAGTGCCAGGGTCTTGGTTATTTTTCAAGACCCCCCATTTGACAAGGGGCCTCCTGCAGGAAGCCTTGGGACTACACCCCTGCAATTGCCCCAGAGGAAAGGAAGAGCTGGGCGGGGGAGGGCACCCCCTGGTGGCCCCAGTGGGAACTGCATCCAGCTCCCTGCCCTCCTTCTGGAAGGTTCCCTGCATCCGGGGTCTATGCCAGCCCAGTACTGGGTGGGGCTGCAGATGCCAGGCGCCCAGGGAGCAGGTAGCAGAAGCCACGCTGGATGCCTCCGGGTTCTGATGGGAATAAGACAGTCCGTACAACCTGGGTGTCTCGTGGGCACCACCCCCAGCCAGTCCCGGGCCCTGCCCAGCCAGGCTCCCAGCTCTTCCTGTGTCCTGCTCTCTCCTGCCCGATCCCAGCCCAGGCACCACTGTTTCTGCCTCTCCTTGCTTCAGCCTCCAGGCCTGCCGACTCCCTCTTGGCTTTCCTCCGCCAGTGAGATCCTGATAAAACCCAAATGTGACCCTGGTCTCTCTTTCGTGGGACCCTGCAGAGGCTCCCTGTGACCCTGATAAGGTCAAATCTCTCATGGAGTAAAGAGCTTGGGCTCTGGCCCTGGCCACCTGGGTTCAAATCCTGCCTTTACCTACCGGTTGCCTGCCAAGAGATCTGAGTCACTTAGCCGCTCTGTGCCTCAGTTTCCCCACCTGTAACACAGGGGTGGTAATACTGCCCCACCTCACAGCATTATCATGAAGATGAAATGAGCTGATACTTGGAAAGAGCCAGAGCAGTGCCTGCATGTGTAAGTGCTGGGGACACTAGCTGTTCCTGTTAGTGGGGTTACTGCTGCCCTCGCGGTTCTAAGAACCCCCATGACCAGGTCCCCATCTGCCTCTTTAGCCTCACCTCTCTGCTGCCCCCCCAGACCTCAACCTCCAGGCCCACAGGCTGATTCAGGGGCTCACACCTGCTCCTAAGCGTGTGCAGATGCTTGTTTTCTCCCCCTAGCAAACTCCTACTTGCCCTCAAAGGCCCAACCGAAATGTCCTGTCCTCTGTGTGGGCGCCCCTGGCTAGGTTAGGAGCCTGTTTCTCACTCGTATGCTTTCCTCTCCAGGCCCCGATGATAATAATGGTAGATATTTACTGAGTGTCCCACGTGCCAGGCACTGACCTAAGCGCCGCCTGGGTGTTAACTCAAATCCGCACAGCAATCCTGGGAGCAGTGAAGGCCCAGAGAAGTCAAGCAAGTTCCCTGAGGTCCCAGAACAGTCGGTGGCAGAACATGCCTGAGCCACCACTGTGTCGTCCCGTAGGTGAACATGGTCTCTTCCCTGCTGGTGCCCTGACTAGGTGGCCTCTGTTTCAGGTATGGCTCCTACATGGTCTGGAAAGAGCTGGGGGGCTTCTCGGAGGAGGCTGTGGTTCCCCTGGGTCTCTACGCCGGGCAGCTGGCCTTGAACTGGGCATGGCCTCCCCTCTTCTTTGGCAGCCGACAAATGGGTTGGGTAAGTGTGGCCTTGGCCAGTCTTCTTGGTCCCTGGAGATGGCCTGTGGAAGAGCGGCCCTTCCTTGGGGGACAGAGGGCATCACATCCTAGATGGGGTGAGGGTCTAAAGATCCGGGGGCAGGGATGGCACACGGCTCGTGGTCAGCATCTCTCAGAAGCTTTTAGGGGACCAGCGGCCTCCCATGGAGCCCCCAGCTGCTTCTCCTCCGATGAAGGAAGCTTGCAGGGTTCTCACAGAACCAGACGGGCTTGCTGGCTTGGTTGAGGGGCCATCGTATAGGAAAACATTACGCCTGGTGCTGTGCATCCCTCATACGGCATGGATCAGGCCGGGGTGATTGTTCCCGTTTTACAGAGGGGAAACTGAGGCAGAGACCGAGGGAGGGACTTGATGGGGTCACTTGGGGATGGAATAGAGCGTTCCCTTGAGTGTACCCCGTGAGCGGCCAGCTGGGACATGCACCCGGTGAGTACAAGGAGTCTCAGGCCTCCCTGTCCCCCCCCCCACCCCTGTGTCTCTGCAGGCGCTGGTGGACCTCCTGCTGACGGGTGGGCTGGCAGGAGCCACGGCTGTGGCCTGGCACGGGGTGAGCCCACCAGCCGCCCGCCTGCTCTACCCGTACCTGGCCTGGCTGGCCTTTGCAGCCACACTCAACTACTGTGTATGGCGGGACAACCAAGGCTGGCGTGGTGGCCGTCGGCTTGCCGAATGAAAGAGCCCCGTCCTCTGAGGACCACAGCTGCTGCCGATCAGGTGCTGCCCAGGGTGGTGGCCCTTATACTTCCATGGCCGCCTGGCCTGCAGGTCTGTCTGGGTCTCAGCCCCGGGGGTCACCACCAGCTTCAGAAGTGCCCCAGGCCGAGCCTCTATCCCAGAAACGGCATCCTGCGCTTTCTGCACTGCCCCAAGCATGCTCTCGGAACACGGAAGGTTAGAAGCCAAATAAAATTTTTAACCTCCTGGCAGTGGCCTTTTTACTTGGGTGGGACTCCTGGCCGCGGGGAAGGGGGGCACTCATCCTACTGCTGGATATGCCTGGGCTGCATCCTCCAGATGAGGCTGGACCAGGTCAGTGCTTACCTGTACTTCTCGGGTCCCTCCCAAGACCCTCCAAGAGGTGAGGTGGCCTGCCCCGGCCTGGAGCAGCCCAGGTTCGACCCGGAGCCCACACCCTGGCTCTGATGCTGCTAGGACAGGCGGGCAGCGGGCCCAGAGCTTGGTCCTATCCACTCTCTCAGCCTCCAGGAAGCTTAGTGCAGGGTGTGGGCCCGCAGTCGGCCTGGGCTGGCACCTCAGGGCCCTCAGCTGGCCTCGGCCCGGATGGGGCTGGGCCCAGAGCTGGGGACACTGCCTGACCTGCCCCTCGGGTGCTGGGACTCATGCCAGCCTCACTCCACCAGGGGCAGCCCTGTAAACGCCAATTGGCAGTAGGGCCTGTGTCCTGGCCCCGGAGACCGCAGCCCTTCATTGGCCCAGGCCTGCCCAGGTTTGGAGGTGTCAACCCCAGGTTCGAATTGGGTTGTCCAGGTCCTCTGCAGGCAGCTGCTAGGGAGGGGGAGGCTGGCAGAGGTCTGTCGCGCAGGCAGGCTCCTGCTGGGGTGACACCTTGGCTCCAGCTTCATGCTCCCACATTCCGGGCCGCCTGGCACCGGGGTGCTGGCACCTGCCGGCCTTTGGCGGCTTGTTTTGTTTTTGGTTGTCAATCACTCACACAGGCAAGAGTGTTGCTTCGCTCTGTCATTTGGGCAGGCCGGGTGTTCTGCTGGGCGCTCCCCGCCCCCTTGCCTGCTCCTCACGTTCAGACAGGACGCAGTTACAATGGTAGGAAAGCTCCGGGAGAGACAGCTGACCGCATTCAGCTGAGAGAAGGGGCGGCTCTCTCGCAGGGGCTGTCACCTCCACCTCCTCTGGAGCTGGATGACGGGTGGGTGACGCTCTGCTGGAAGCCTGCGCACCTCGGCCAGCTCCTCACGCGGATTCTCTGATGCTCCCCAGAGCAGAGGCTCCGATGGGGGAAGCTTTGAGTATCCTTTCATTATTTCTGAAGTTCTCCAAGATGGCCGGGGGGGGAGGGGCACTGAAGTGTCATCACAGGCCCCCGTGTGCCCCCCAGATGTGCTGTACTTAGCACTTAAGTGCACCTGAGACTTCTGGGATCCTCATGCAGGCTTTTGTCCCTTGGATTCGCTTGTGGCTTCATTCATCTCTGGCAATATCCCACATACTTCCCCCCCGGCCACAAAAATGGATGAGAGACAGATGTACTTTGCCATTGTGTTGGCTGGCTTTCTTGTGATGCTCCCCGCCCACCCCCGTTCTTCATAAGTAGACCGCATTCTCTTATCTGAGCTTTGGCATCCACTAGGAACGTCAAGCTTCTGACAATGTCCATGTTGGTTTAACAGGAAAATCCATACCTCATGGATTGTCAAGTCCTTCTGGTCTGCGCTCCTTCCTGCCCTTGAAATCCTAAATCTGGGCATTTGCTTCCCTCTGTAGCAGACTGGCCATAAGGGATGCAAGACAAGGTCATTCATACAGCCCAGGAGGGCTTGGCCGGCCATCGGCAGGGATGCTCAGGCGTGTGCCGAGCACTTTGATGTTGTCATCGGCCCCTGCAGATCTCTGGTGCCTCTCCAGGAAAAGGCCACCACGTCTGGGGGTGTTTTTGTGGCCACGGATCATCACTGAGAATCTTTCTAAATTTCACCACCAGCATCTCAAGTTTTACCTTTTGGACTTGTTTTGTGTGGTTCTGTAGAACTTTGGTACGATTAATACTGTGGCTGTAACTCCTGGTTGACTCTAGACGTCCAACTCTTACAAATCTGCACTTTAAGGAATTGTCAACACGGACGCCTGGGTGGCTCGGTCTGTTGGGCGTCTGGCTTTGGCTCAGGTCGTGATCCCGGGGTCCTGGGATTGAGCCCCGCGTGGGGCTCCCTGCTCAGCAGAGTCTGCTTCTCCCTCTCCCTCTGTCTTTCCTCCCCCGACTCACACTCTCTTTAAAAAAAAAATTCTCAACATGAAGTGGCTCCAGTGAAAATAGTACCAGAAAGAAGTACTTCCAAGGGTAAGAGCCATCTCCACCGCGAGTATGGTCTTCAGGGACAGTGCGGGCCCTGCCTGATGCCCTTCCTTGAGGATGTCTGATTTTCACTGATCAGAGGTGCAAGGACATCTAGAATTGGGGAAAAGCCTGCTTATAATTAAGGAGAGCCTGGATCATGTAGTCCTCTGATCGCAGCCATGCCTGCTCAGAGTATCCTGGGTAACCGGGTTTCAAGTGAACTGGGAATGAGCAGGCCCACTATCCCTGTTAGGCATCTGAATGAATACCATGGTGTGAGTGCTCGTCCTGAGGGGCACAGGAGGTCCCTTGCAGGGCATGTCCAGATAGCATGTTGGGGGGGCGCTCTGCGCACCGCCAGGGGGCCTCACTGTGCTGGCCAACAGCACTCATGCCCCTCCTGCATCCGCCCGCTGGACCCTCTGGCTGCCCTAAGAGCAGTTAGGGTCTCCCATCACCCCCATCCTCAGGGTGAGGAAACAGGCACGAAGAGAATCCCATTCCCCGAGGCCCCAGCAGCGCGTGCATGACGAGGTTCCTGGGCACTGCCCATGATGCCAAGGTGCGCCCTGGCTCCACATTTGTCCCCGCTGCGTTCTGCTCTGAAATGGAACCAGTGCAGGGGAATCCCACTTTGGGGGAGGAAACTTCTGTTTCCCTAAATCCCTATGTTGAATCCTACCCCCAGTGTGACGGTCATAGGAGGTGGGGACCTCGGGAGGTGATCAGGCATGAGGGTGGTGCCCTCATGAATGGGGTCAGTGTGGGGTACAGGAGACCCCACAAAGCTCCCTTGCCCCTTCCCACATGTGGCCATCTGTGAACCAGGAAGAGGGTCCTTAAAGATACCAAATCTGCCACCCCCTGATCCCGGGTCACCCCAGCCTCCTAACTGTGAGGCAGAACTCCTGTCGCGTGAGCCCCCCAGTTGTGGTATTCTGTTACCGCGGTCCTAACGGGCCCAGACGGGCACCTGGCAGCCAAACCACCGTCTTCTTTCGTTTCTCCAAGGGGACGTCTTGGTATTTTGGTTTTCTTCAACAATCAAACAGGAAGATAGCTGACACACGGCGCCGACCCTGTGGTTCCGGGGCCTCCACACGGACAGGGAAGCCGAAGTCACGAAGGTGTACTTTATTGCGGTACCGATCGCGTCGAGGAGCGGACAGGACGCCGGCGGCCCCCCAGGGAGCAAACCAGAGACAAGGCATCCTGCCCTCTACCCCTCAGCTTGGCTGCAGGGAAGGGGCACCTCCCCAGCCGACAGGCTGCGGTTCTGGGCGACAGAGAAGACGGACAGACACATGGATGGGAGGCACGGTCAAGTCCAGTTTTGCTTCTTGGCTTCAAAATGAAATCAAGCTCCCCGCCACCACCCCGGGGGGCAAACTCGCCCACTGTCAGCTGGGCTTGGGGGCACTGCGGCTACACGAGACACACCAGCATGTGACTCCAAATTTCAGAAAGTTATGGAAATAATAAGAATTTTTATATTTTCCTCCCATCAATGAAAAACTAACAAAAATCCAACATTTTGACTCTAGACTCTGGGGGAAGGTAGCATCTGACGGTAACGTCAAGTTCTCCCCAGAAGCGTCTTCCTCAGCTGCCTGCTGCCTCCGCCACCCCACTTGTCCCCGAGGCCCCAGCCGACGGCAGACGAGGGAGAAAGCTCTGTCGGGGCCGCACACAGGAGGATGGCCTGCTTCTGCCAAACGGAAAGGCAACAGCAGCCAAAGGCCGCGGCCTTCCTGACTGGGAACTTCACAGGAAGCTTGCTGGTGAAGGCTTTGGTCGAGATTGGGTAACAAGAAAGCTGGGTTTGGGAAGCAGGCTCCCAGGTGTTCTGGGGGGCAGGGGTGCAGGGCGGGACCCTGACACCCTGCCACGGGGCCGACTCGACGCATGGGCAGACACTCTGGAGAAGCAGTCCGCCTGGCCCCGGTTCATGTGTGGCGCCCACAGGTGTTGCTGGGGAAACCTGTTTGTGGGGACACCTCATTGTGCTCCCCAGAACCCGCAACTGCTAACACCCTGGGAAACCCAGCAGCCCAGGAACCGGGCTCTCTGGAAAAACCCTCGGCTGAGCATAGGTGGTGGTGAGGAGAGTGCGCACAGGGGCCTGGCACTCAGCCCTGGGGACACCGTGACTGGCCCTGCTCCTGACCTCGGGGGGAAGAGGACCCTGAGCTCCCGGAGGTGGTGCGGGGATGACAGCTCGAAGGCGAGGCTGTGCCTGAGGGAGGAGGGGAGCGGGCTCTGCAGAAGCAGCTCCGCGAGCTGAGGCTGGAACGGGCTGGCACGCACCACGGAGCCACGAGCACCTAGACCAGGCGGGTGACGTGGCAGTGGCCGGGCTCGTCCAGGTACAGGGTGCTGAAGATGTCATTGAAGAAGCTCGGGTGGTGCCTGCAGGCCCGCTCACAGTCCGGGTTGAAGTTCACCTCCAGGATCTGTGGCTGCATCGTCCGCTTCCCTGATTGACGGCACAAGAGCACAGGGCATGTCACTCCCGGGTGACTGGCCAGGGCACGAGGTCCCTGGTCCCTTCCCTCCCGAGCTCCCTCCTGCCGCCGCTGCAGCCCTCTGCCCTTGCCGCTGGCGCTCCGCCCTGAAGGCCGCTGCCCCTAACGGCGTGCCTCCCACACCAGGTCTCGCAGTGAATCTGAGGCAAAGGACCATCTCAGCAGCACTTAGCAGGGCAAGGAACTGGAGATGCCCTCTCTGTCCCCTGGAGGCAGGGGAGGGCTGGATGATGGGCTTTGGGTAAGTGGAGCGGGGTGTGGTCTGGATTATGGGGCAGGGGGAGCCCCCTCACCATCTGGACAGTTGTCCCACTTGAGCATGAGGTCGATGGCATACACAGCCCGGGATGAGGGGTAGTCGCAGAGGCCCAGGGGCGGTGGCTTGGCACACGCCACTTGGAACAGCTCCGTGAAGGCCTGGAAGATCTCAGCCTGGGGAAGGGGCAGGCAGGGTTGGGCGCTGCACGGCTCTGAGGCTGGGACCAGCCCCCAGAGCAGCTTCTTCCACGGCCTCACTGCCTCTCCGTGAGCGGCAGCCCCCCCCCCGCGGCCCACGAGCCCTCCCCCTGCGGTCTCCGCGTCTCCACCCCCGGCCCTCGCCGTCTCCTCTGACACCGGCCCCTCGCTCCCGGCGTCTGACTGGTGCTGAGCCGCCTGGCTCCTGCCTCGGGGCCCCCAGCCCCCCTCTGCACCAAGGTGCCCAGAGCAGCAGCGGAAGCACTCTAGGACGCGGAGGCCAGCCTGGGCCTCCAGCTGTGTCCCTGCTGCCCCCCCAGGTCTGCAATTTCTGGGGCAGGTAGGGCCTACTGCCATCTGGCTGTCCGGACAGTGCTCCGACTCCCCTCCAGAACACCCCGTGAGGCCCAGAGCGGGAGGAGGGCTGCAGCACAAGCCGTCTCCTCCACCGGCCTCGGTGGGAGGAGCAAGACCATCCCAAGGAGGCCAAGACCCCCCCCCTCCCCCGCCCAACGCCAGCCCACGAGGGAAGCCCCGGCCTCTGCCCAGGACTCACCTGGACGTTCTTCCAGGGAAATTCTGGGTACTGCTTCTCAAACTCAGGGATGAACTCATTATAGTGCACCTGCCACAGACACATGGCCCATCAGGCTCTGCCTGGGGGCCTCCTCGGGGCAGGGAGCGGGGAAGCCCGCCCTGCCTTCAGGTGGAGGCTCCGGCACTCACCGGGGCCACGTGTCAGCACCCTCAGCCTATCCAGCACCCCCACCCCTGGGCACAAATGAGAGGCAGGATCCTACTCTCTGACTCAGGACAAGCAGATTTACTTGTCAGAGCTTCAGTGTGCTCATCTGTGAAATGGGACAATGCTCCCTGCCTGGCACTTATTTACGGGGCTACTCTGAGGCCGGGACCGTGTGCTGGAGACAGAGCCCGGACCCAGGCCTGAGCTCAACGCCCAGCACCAGCTCCAAGTGCCTGAGGACGGCAAGATCTCCTCGGGCCAAGACTGCATCTAAAACACACGTGCGCAAGCCGGCAGTAAGCTCGGGCTTCTTCCTGAAAGGCTGAGCCAGGATGGGCTCCCTACGGAGGCCTGATGCTCACATCCTGTTGGCGATGCGGTCCCCACACACAGGAGCTTATGGGGAAATGCGACCTTTGGGGTGCCACACTCACAACATAGGGGGAAGGCATTCAGTTCTCTCAGAAACAACTTCCAACCGTGTCCCAGGGCCCCACTGACGGCTCAGGGTCCTAGGACCCGGCCTCCAACACAGCCCAGGACAAGCAGCAACAGCCAGGCAGGGCGTGCATGTGGGTACGGCCACTCGGATGGCTCAGTCCACCCTCGAGGACTGCTGAGGCACGGGCACAGCAAGGTACCCCCAGGAGTGGTCAGTGCAGCTCGTCTGTTACCGGTGAGCACCAGAAGTGACCTAAATGTCTATGAACAGGTGAATGACAACATCATCCCAGGACAAGGACGCCCCCAGCCACATTTAGCAATAATGACGAATCTATATACGTGATGCTCAGCAAAAAAAGAAAGCCATAGAAGGACTTGCTCACCTGGATAGCATTCACACAAAAACATGTATCTACCTACCTACCTACCTACCTACCTACCTACCTACCTATAAAACCATCATCTGAATAGCTTTGGGATCAAAAGAATCAAGCCGAAAAGAGTCAAAACATATCTGGAAAGGATAATTACCACATTCAGAAGAGCACCCACCTTGTGGGAGGCAGGGGAGAGAAGGCCACCTGCAGGCCTTGGGGTGAGCAGGGTGGGTGAGGGGGTGAGCGGGTGTGCCCTACTTCCCACTGGCCTGAACCAGCCACCAACCAGCCAGCAGGTCAGGGAGGACTTTTGGGACGAGGCATGAGGCAGCCTCTCTCTCCTCTCCTCCTCCCTCTGCCCAGAGCAGGCTCTGCCTCTGCCCGGGCTAGGCCCACCTGTCGCAGGTGCATTGCTGCCAGCTGGGGTTCGAGGCCCTCAGCTCGGAAGGAGCTTTGCCCTGATGTCCCTTTGCCCAAGGTGCCCAGACAGCAGGGGGGAGCACGGATCCAGGATCCGGCAGGGTCATGGGCCAGCAGCGGCAGCCTGTGCCTCCCACCCCCACCTGCCCTTGTGCTCGGGGGGTGCTGGGCGGAAGGTGGTCTGTGCCTCCAGCGGACACCTGCCCGGCCCCAACTTGCTGCAGGACCTGGGGAGGCCTCGAGCACCTCAGACAGAGCGTGTACCTCTCTGAGCTGTGGGGGCTGCCGCTTTGAGATTAACACAGGTACCAGAAGGCAGCTCCTCCGACGGTCTACACAGCCTGCCCAGAAGACAAGCCGATGGGTGTGGGGTCTGGGTCTGTAACTGCCTCCAAGTGAACCTACCTGCTTCAGCACCACTTCCGGGTCATAGTTCATGACGGTGAAATGTTTCTCATAGTCGTCCAGGTCATCGAGTGCGAAGGGCCTGCAGGAGGAGTGCCCAGACACGGGAGGGTCCTGAGCATGGCTGCGTCCCAGCAGGGACGGCGCTCCGAGAGACCCTGCCGGACACCAGTGCCGCCATCGGAGGGGGTGGCCCCACGGCCCCTCAGAGCTTAGCTCTGGGAAGACACCTGAACGGCCCATCAACATCATCACGATCCACAACTGCTGGTGCCCATTTGACAGTGACAAGCGCTGCTCACGTCCCCACCCATGGCTGATGCAGGCTGGGTATGAGTTCCCCGCCAGGGACCAGATCCGGGCTCAGCGGGACCACCTGCTGGGTGCATGGTGGAGAAGGAGCTCCAGGACGGGCTTTCTGACCCCAAGATAAAGAGGGACCCCATTACCCCCCCCGCCAGCCAGCCTCCCAATTACCGGTTGGAGAAGCGCAGCCAGAACACGTCATATACGAATAGCCTCAGGGGCTTCACCGACCGCAGAAGCACAACATAGCGGACGTCGAACTTGACCGGCCCCACGTCTTCTCGAAGGAACAAGACAGGATCTTCAATGTATTTGGACACGACCTGGAGGACACAGATGCAGGGTTGCAGGCGGCCCTCCCCTTGCCGTGGCCCGGGGGCACCCTAACCTCACCCCATCTGCATCCGTCCTCCCTGGTGACAGGCTCACACCTGTGGGACAACCAAACACAGTCACCACATCCTGGAGAAACAGGCACGCTCCTGCCCTGGCCCCAGGAGCCCTGAGCCCTGCACTTGGCTCCTTCCTTGTTCTTTTCAAACCCCGTCTAGGCTATGGCAAGTTCTGTATCTTCACCTTCACTTTAACTGAAGAAAAAGATCCCACCAGTTTTTAGGTTTTGAAAACTCCATACAAGTTCTCAGCCGTAATCCCATCGACTCTTCCCCGCTGCCTGGAATCCGCTCAGCAATCATCCCTCTGGCACGCTTTCCTTGACCTCTGCCCAGGTGCTGTGTGTCTTACAATACCCCCATCCCCCAAAACCGCCCCTGACGTGCCCCGTGTCACTACAGCACCGTCTAGGGGCTCCCTGGCCTGGCCTCCTCCCTCCTGCCGGGCAGTCATGCGTGGTGGAGCGAGTGGGGTCTCTGAGGTCAGACACACCTGGGACAGCGCTCCCAGGACAAGGGCTCCCCCCTCCCCTGGACGGTTACACAGCCCTCCCCTGCTGGCCAGGACACTGAAAGGAGTCAGGGTCAGGGCTTCAGAGACACCTACGAGCCAAGTGACCCTGCTCACTGCCAACACCAGGACCCACCCCCACGGGGCCTGACACCCGAGTCCCCTTTTGCCCCCCAGTCTCATCGACCAGCCTGTGTGCCCAGAGCCACGAGGCCCACCTTGGGGGTGCTCTCGCGGTGCCGGATGATGCTGTGGAGGCTCCTGGTGATGTGGGTGTCCAGGCTACGGGCCAGGTTCCAGGGTTTGCAGATCCAGTGGTTGTCCTGGCCCCTGAGAGGACATGAGGTCGGCTAGGCTATGCCCTGCGCCCACCTTCCCGGGACCACAGCAGTCTTAGAAGAGGGGCACCCAACCTCTCCCAGGGAGTAGTGGGAAGTGTCGCAGAGGGAATGTTAGGGGCTGGACCTTGGGGAACAAGGAAGAGCTTGCTTGAGCCCAGACATGGAGACGCCCATGGTGGTCCCGGCAGCGCCCTGTGCTCACGGCTCGTAGCACCGCGGCTGGCACAAGTTAGTGCAAAGCTGAGGAGCGGGCTGGGTGGGGCAGGGCGGGCTGTGGGAGGGTGACAGGTGTAGGAGTCCCACCTCGCAGGGCTCCATGGTGAGGGGGGAGAGGGGGGCCCTTACCGCCTCTCCCGTTGCTGGAAGTAGCTAACAAACTGGGGTAACTCGGTGCGGAGATTGAAGGTGCGGGGCAGCCAGGCCGGGCCCTCGGGGCCCCCTGCCCGGCGCGCAATGGAGGCCAGGCAGTCCTTCACCGTCAGCAGGTTCTCGCAGGGGAACTGGTTCAGCAGCACGTTGGGCCTCTCCTGGCTGAGCCTCCTGTGGGGCCGAGGCAAGTGCACACGGCTCAGGGGTGGCGAGGGGCTCTAGGGCCAGTCCCTGGACCCCCGGCCCGGTAGGGGGGTACTCACCTGTAGTCCTTGAAGTGGGAGAAGTTGTAGAGAATGTCAGCATCCGCCTCGCTCTGGGTGAAGGTGAAGCGTGGGTGCGTGAGGTGGCTGAACACCAGCTGAATGTCTGTGTAGACCCTACAGGAAGAAGTCGGGCTGAGCTGGAACCCCACCCGTGCTCGCCACACCCCTGGGACTCGAGGGCTCCCTAGGGTCCTGGGCTGATGTGAAAAAGGATGAGGCCAGGTAGAAATTCCATTCTGCAGTCCCAGCTCAGGCTGAGGTTGGACGGCCAGGGTCAACCTCACCCTCTCTGCCTGCCTGCTGAGTGTGGGGCAACTAGGATTCTTCTGACCCCAGGGCCCCCACCTCTAAGATGGGATCACAGCCCAACTCACACTTGTCATTGGGGTGACACGGATAACCTGAGTGTTTCACAGATGCAGGCTTGTCTCCCACATGGAAACAGGGACTGATACAGCCAGCCTCTCACAGACATGCTAAGAACTCTGCCCTCAGAGGAGGCAGCTGGTGTCCAGGTGCCTGCAGGGGAGTGTGTGGCCAAGAGGAGTGCCCTGGACGTGGCCTCGTTCCACACCAGTGCTCACTGCTGCCTGCCCTGCCTGGCCCTCGCTGGCCCCGGGGCAGAGGTGAGGACAGAGCCCGGGAGCCCATCTGCTGGGGGTGGCCGAGGCAGGAGAAGGTAGGAGGGTGGCCCAGGCTGGGACAGCGGTCCAGGGGAGGAGATGAAGTCGACTGCCAGGGGCAGGACTGTGAGCAGGAGGCCAAGACTAAGTGGGTCTCAGTGGGTCCTCTGACCCTGAGGAAGGACGGACTCTGGGCAGTGGGCCTGGGCACCAGGGAGGGCCCCCGGGCTGCCTGGGCTGGGGGGCCGGCCCAGGCTTGGGTAGCCACAGAGAAGGACTCCCATGGAGGCAAAAACCAGGCTGGGACCCGCCTCTGAGCCTGCTCCGCACCCAGTGGGCACAGCACTGCACGCCCACCTCCTCACCTGTACAACGGGCGTCTGGTTCCAGCTGGCATCCAGCCTGCCTGGCCTTGCCTCACCCGCCAGCCCCCAGCTGCAGACACCTGGGAACGGCCCCTCCTGGCAGCCCAGCCACCTCCGCTAGGCGCCCTGCGCATTCACGGTCGGCCCAGGCTCCCTGACCTCAGGAGCAGGCCTGGCTATGTTTTCACCCCAGGACCAGAGGAACCCCGCCCCTGCCCCGCCCTGACAGCATTCTCTCTGTAATCCTAAGACTCTGCCCCTGGCTTCTGCCACTGCCATGCCATCGGGCAACGGCAGGCTTACTGAGCGCCTCCCTGTGCCGGGCACTGTTCTCGGAGCCGTGGGAATTTGGGGGGAGCAAGGAGGCTCCTCATGAGCTGAGAAGGGGGCTACGCACTTGAAGATGTGGTCACAGGGATATGCCACCGGACTGATGGCAAGCGGCAGCTTCTCCTTGTTTTCCTCCAAAATGGCCTAGAAGGAAAGCACTGCAGGTAGAAACAGAGCTTCAAGACAGGGAGCAAGGGAACACCCACCTCCCCAGTTGCATCAGGGGGCACCCCCAGGCCCCAGGTACAGCCTTCTGACAGTCACAGCAGCAGCCAGAGCCCTCGGACTACCCCGCCCCGGGATTCTGGGGCTCAAGGCCCGTCAAATGCTGAGCGACCCATTTGTGTCAAAAGGAAAACATAAACACTGTTCTAAATCTCAACACTCTCTCCAAATCACAGGCAGCTGAGAAGGTGTCAAGCCTGTCCCGGGAGGGGGCTGGCGGGTCCTAGTGGAGCCCTGAAGTGCTGTTCCAAGCGTAAGCCGTGTGGTGGTTTAAAACACACCAACGAACACTGTGACACTCCCTTCGAAAGGCATCTTCCCTTGGGTGTAGGCTGGACCGAAGGAGCTGCTTCTAAGGCACAGACACAGGGGAACGGATGCGCTACTTCAGAGAAGGCCCTGCGCCTTTCTCCATGCTTTCTCTCAGCTCACAGGCTCTAAGAGAAGTCTGCAGCCCTGCGGAAAGGCCACGTGGGTTAGAACTGAGGCCTCCCGCCGACATAGCCGGTGCCACCTTGCCAGGCATGTGAGTGTGCCAGGCGGAAGCCGATCCTCAGCCCCAGCAAGCCTCAGATGATGCGGTCCGGCTGACAGCCTGGCTACGCTTCGAGAGGGGCTCCGAGTCCAAAGCACCCCTATCTCCTGTTCCACAGAAAGTGGGTGAGATGATAAATGTTTGCTGTGTTAGGCTGCTGCCTTGGAGTCATTTCTTATCCCGTGATCACTAACTCATACCGGCGACCCCCACCCAGAGCACGGGCCCAAGCTGGACGGGTCAGATGGGGAAAAGCAACCAGGATGCTATGGATAACTAGATTTGGCCTCAACTCCTCTTTCTGGACAGCAGAGACGTCCCGAGGAAAACAACAACAACTAACTTGAATTCCTGAGTGTAAATTCAGCTCAGCTGTCCCAGCTCAGGCCCTCCCTGCCCTGTCTGCTAGAACCACCTCAAGATCAGGAACCCTTTGCCCCTAAGCCATTCTTAACCCTGACTCCTTTGCAGTCACCCATTTACTAAGCAACTACTAGGTGCAACTACTCTACAAGGCTCTGAAACATGCCTTGGACTCAAGATGAGTGATGAGTTTCCTGCATGGATAGTTCAACCACCACTGGCTTAGACGGAATTCACGGGAAAGGGGCCAGGAGGACCCACCACTGTGGCCCAGCCTCTCCCAAACCACAGCACTCAGAGAAACAGCTAACACCCCATGGTGCTTCCCATTCTCACTCGAGCTAACTTGTCCACTCCTTTCCACAGCCCTCCGAGGCACTCAGTCAATGTCTGATGTGCCCATGTGGGCAGGGAAATTTTGACACGGTGGGGTGAAGCTTGTAGCCTCCACCCACAGGCTGTCAGGCCCCCTGGTGTTGCACCCCAGCTCGCCTACCAGCCGTGTGACCTTTGGCAAGTTACTTAACCTTCTGTGGTTTCCTCATCCTCAGTAAAATGAAGACAGAAATAGGACCTCAAGTCCTTATGTTATAAAGGACTACCGTCAAGCATGCCCATAGGTGCTACCCACAGGCCTCACTCATGGCCTGGTTCCAAACCGGGACCAGCCATTGGGAAGCAGAAGCAGGAGATCAGAGGCAGAGGAGGGAGGAGGGGGGCCCAGGAGTGTTCCCTGTTCAGCCCTGCCTGGTCTGGCAGTGACTATGTTCCCAGAAGCTCTACCATCTCCCTGGCCCGGGGCCTCCCAAACCCTGGCTCCCTAATTTACCCCCAAGAGGCTGCCACAGATGAAAGTGCCTTTGTTGGGCCAGAACAGCAACACTAATGATGACGTGACTTGCTGAGGGCCTACTGTGTGCCGCAGAATGCACCGGGTGATGCTTGAATAGTGTCTTCACATCCCCGGTGAGGAGGAACAGTACTGAGCTGGGATTCATTACCAAGCCTCATGGCCCACACTGTGCCCCCCAGTCCTGGCAAAGAGTCCCACAAAACGAGGAAGAGCAGCACTGACCACCAGCAACCCCAGCTCCAACCCTCCGACAGCATGGTTCCCAGCCTCAGGCCCTGGGGTCCAGGCTCGGCACGGGCAACCAAGCCGGGCGGCCACCAGCGGCTCCTGCTCACTCCCTGAGCTCTGAGCCCCTTGTCTCTCAGATGCTCCCAAACTCTTTGCTCCCTCCTACAGCAGCCAGTTGGCATTCAGTAACATGTGGTGACTGAAGAACGTTCCAGAAGCCACCAGGCCAAAAGGCCCCAAGGTTGGAGGCAGACGGTCACACCTGATAGTGCTCATCTGGCGGCTCGGGCGTGGAGGAGCTGAAGTCCAGTAGGTCGGCAGGGACCCAGGGCAGCAGCATGCACTTCCGGATCAGAGGGTCAGCCTCTCCGTAGGCAAAGTCCCGGGTCACCTCCTCTGCATCAAGACATGTGGCCCATCAGGGGGCAGCAGGAAAGCAGGGCCTGGGCCCATCCTTCAGGGTGGGTGGTTGTGGCACTTACCGCCCGTGTCCAGGTCCCGCAGGGGCCACAGCAGCGTGTAGGCCACCTGCTGGGGCATGTAGAAGAAGGGTGCAGTGGCAAAGCTAGGTGTGTCCGAGTGCTGGATGCGCGAGCCGAACTCGTCCATGATGTACCACACTGGCACCTTCTCCTCGGCCGTCTGTAGGCAGAGCACACACAGCAACCCGGGTCCACCAGTCCATCTGCCTGCCCCTTTTGTCATGCACCCTCCCATCCATCCATGCACCCAAATGATGCCCCGTCTACACCCAACTCCCAGAGCCTGGAGTGTCTACCACACGCATCCCAGCACGCTTAACCTGGGGCCCCTGGGACCATCCTGGGCAGACCAGGACACAGACCAGCAGACTGCAGTGTGACTGCTTGTCGTGGGACAGGTGCATGGACTAAGGCCCTCAGTCTAGCAGCTACGTGGATGTGTCTGGCAGGGGAGGGCGAGGGGGCTCCCTGGAGGAGGTGACATCTAAGCTGAGACCATGAGAAACAACTTTGGTCTTCTCCCACACTAAAAGCAGTGAGGGGCTGGAGCATGAGGCTGGGTCTGGGGAGGCTGGTAGGAAGGATGGCGATGGACACCGAGGACTTGTTCTAAAGGGACACAACTCTTCAGAGGTCAGTGAAGAACCAGAGGGCTTTTGGGGGATGACAGAACATGAAGGCACCAGGAAATAGGCAGCCAGTCATGGGGTCCATGTCTAGGGGTCTGAGAGAGGGTTGTGTCCTGTGAGCTCAAAGGCCCCCAGACACCCGAGTGCCTGGCACCGGCTGGCCCGAGGGAGAGTAACAGGCCCATGATGGAGCCACAGGGAATGAGGGGGGCCCCAGGAGAGACGTCTGCTCACTTCTGGGGGGAAAGGCCCCTGGGGCTGGGTCCTGGCTCCCCCAGGCTGCCCCCGCTCACCCCGTGGGCCAGCTGGTAGGTCTGGTTGAACCGCCACATCTCCTCCAGCACCAGGTCCTCGGCCTCGGCGCTGGGCAGCTCGCCGTGGAACTCGATGCCCATCAGGTTGGCCATGCGGTGCAACAGCCCGGGCACCTGCTGCAGCTGCTGGCGCGCGCGCTCCACGCGGCACGTCCAGGCGTGGTCGATGAGGAAGATGCTGCCGGCACAGGCCCAGAGCGGGTGTGAGGGGCCCTCAGGGGGCTCTGCCCCAGGAGATGTGGGGGGTGGGGGGAAAGGGGGCCTGCAGCTACGGCCTGGGGGGGCCTCCTCTCCTCCAGTTTCTGCAAAAACCAACGGGGTCCCTACCTCCTGTCAGGTGGCCAGTATGAGCATCAGAGAAGACAAAACATACAATGTGCTGACTGTACACACCAAGTCCTTGTGTTCTTGTTGATATTTATCATCCATCACTGTCACAGTAAGTGCTTTCATCTGCATTTGGACCTGCTGGGCCAGCCCACGCTCCCACCTTGCTACTGCAGGCCCGGCAGGCGCTCGGCAAAAGCAAAGGTTAAGACAGTGGGAAGCCAGCAGCAGGGAGAAGCGCAAGGAGCTGGCACTGGGGGCTCACTCACGCAGGCCTGGGGCTCCGGGGCACTTCCTGGGACACAGCAAGGCCTCTTTGTGGGAGAGGCTGCAACTCCCTGAACATTTGGACCCCTGCAGCCCACGTGCCCAGTCCACCTGGAAGAGCCCGGGGGTGGGACCGCCGCAGAGGGCCAGGCAGGCATCTGCCCTCCCGCCCCCCCAGGGCAGGGCTGCTGGGACACCTTCCAGAGCCCTTCTGGAACTGGAGGCTCTGGACATCCAGGGGTGTGGTTCACCTGCTGGGCAAAGCGGCCATCACCTCCGTTCCCCTGGGCATCAGCAAATGCTCCAGTTCCTGGGCTGGGTGGCAAAGTCAGCAGTGTTTATTCCACTGTGCTTCTAGTGCTGTACGTTTGCATACTCAAAACAAATGCACATTTATTCCTGCCCTCGTGCTTAGAGGTTATGACCACGGGATGCCAGATGCGGAGCTTCAAGGTGGGACACTTGGGTGTGAGCCTGGACAAATGCTCACGGAAGGTGCTGTACATAGGTGTGGAGAGGGGATGAAGTTGGAGAGGTCTGGCAATCAGGGGAGACTCAAAGCTCTACAGGGAGAAAGGCCCGGGAGGAAATGAAACCAATGCCCAGGGCTCCAAACACAGGACTCCACCCGCGTCCCTTCCTGTGCCTGCCTGGTGGAGGGCTACGTGCTGAAGGCTGCAGAGGGGCAGTGAGCTCCTTGAGGTGGCTGCTGGGCCCACGGCCCCAGAGCAGGTGCACCGAGCTGATGGTGCAAGGTGAGCCTGCAAGTTTCGGAGTCAGAGAGCATGTGGGTGGAGGCGGCTGGCTGGCTACCTGTGTAGCCACTCCCACCCCCTCACAGGGTGCTCTGCACAAGAGGAGGCCAGCCAGTTTCCTCCTCAAGGGTCCCACAAAGTTTGGTAGATGGGCCTGCAGCTCCTCTTGGCCCCTACAAGGCAGGAATCCCAGGGTCCAGTCTTAGCTCTGCCCCGTCTACCTTGTGGCCCTGGTGTCCTCCCCTGAGGAATTAAGCAGACCACACTGCTCACAGGCCAGGCATAAAGCCCTGGGAGAACTGGTCATAGTTTTCAGAGACTGGGATTCAGTAGGACCGGGGGCAGGTCCTCAGGATAGCCCGGGGTCACTGACGCTCCACACCCAGGCTCTCAGCTAGCTGTGTGACTCTGGGCAGGTCCTTCCTGTCTCATCGGTGAAGTCGGAACGCATCACCCCTCTGCTGTGAGGAGGCTGCTCTCAGGTCTGTCTGAAACATGACTCACACGGGAGCGTCATTGGTATCAGGGCCAACCTGACCGTGGGGCCCAGCTGGAACCTCTGGTGGCCACGAGCGCCTCTCACAAGGGGCTAAGGGACCGGTGCTTGGGACACAGCAAACACAAGGGCCTGCCACGGCTGCTTCTCCCCAGCAGGGCCATCCCTGGCGAAATCTAACAGGGAGCCCACCCTGACGATCACGGTACGAACCACGGGTGTCGGGCCTGCAGCTCCTACCTGTTGGGGTCGGCCGCCTGGAGCCCGTTCTCGCTGGTCACGATGACCTTGTAGCAGAGCTCGCCGCCGGGGTTGGGCTGCTTCTTCCTCGCTTCCCGGGCCTCCTCGCCCTCACTCTCCTCCTCCACTTCCTGCACTTGCATTATCCCGAACATCTCCCCGGCATCGAACACCTGGGGCCACAGCAGGGGTGTTGGCAGGCTCCCGGGGGCCTGAACTCCAGCCCCATGGAGCGCCACACCCTGGCCTCAAGGGCCAACGAAACCCCTCAGGGGAGGCAGGACCTATTTAGGACCCAACTACCCATCTTACAGGTGGGGAAACTGAGGCTCCTAGCGATCAGCCAGAACTGCAACCTAACCACGGTCACCAGCTATTGTCCAAAGTCCAGCAGCCCAGGGGGCCTGCGCTTAGAAGTGGGGCTGCAGGCATGTGATGGAGTCCGATCTAACCTAACTCTG